GAGGATGTCTGAGAAAAATATTCAAGATTTGGGGCAAAAGTCTACTTTTAGCCTCTCACTTTATCAAGTTTGAAGATTTTAACTCATTTTATATTATGACATTTTTAGCTCCTCATCTTACTAAATTTGTAGGTTTTAACCCCTCATCTTATACTATGACATTTTTAGTCCCTTACCTATTAAAATTGAAGAAAATAGCCCTCATTTTGTAATATTTTGTTAGTTTTATTAATTGATTATTAACTCTATTAATTAACTGTTAATTTACAAAAATTTTCTTTCAGCTAACAGGGTTAATAGAACTAACTTTATAATATTTTGTTAATTTTGTTAACTGACTATTAATTGACTGTTAGTTGACAACAACTTACTTTTAGTTAATAGAGTTAACAGTTAGTATAAAGTGAGGGGTTATTGTTTTCAATTTTAATAGGTGAGGGGCTAAAACCTATAAATTTAATAAGATGAGGGGTTAAAGTGTCATAGTATAAGGTGAGAGACTAAAACTTTTAAAATTGGTAAGGTGAAGGGCTAAAAATAAATTTTTGCCCAAGATTTAGAAATCTGAAGCATACACACGTAGACAAGTAAGTCCTCTTGATGTGTTGATACGTATTATTTTTTATTGGTTAAATCACCATTTTGGTTCCTAAACTTTCAATTTTGGACCAAGTTGGTCCTAGAACTTCAAAAACTACTAAAATTGTTCTTAAACTTCAATTTTCCAACACCAACTTTGACATAAACTTTGTCCTTCTGTCAGTTAAATGCTGACTTATATCATTTTTCCATCTAAAATTTAAATTAGTACTTATAACAAAAATCATATAATCCTTACAAGAATGAATGTTCTCGTAACAAACTCATACAATTCTCACTAGAATGAGTCTAAGTCCATTGAGTTCTTGATATTAAGAATCCTATTTGTTGTCATATTAGACTTCGTATAAATACTAATAAATATGCTTGCCTTGTTCTACATTCATAATCTTTCTTCACTAGCCTGTTCATCATTTCTCTCAAACGTGTTATAATAGTCATATCAATGTGAAAAAGAATAAGATTAAAAGCAAATTATATTTATTACAATTTGAAAAAAACCAAAAGGTTTTAATATAAATACTCACTAGGTTCTCTACATTATATTATAGAGTACTACGGTGTATATCTTTGGAAAAATCTTCCTTAATTCCATCTCAATCACAATTTCGCTCTTAGATGATTTGGGTGGCAAATAGTCTGTTGTAATGACTATAACCAGCATAGAAATACGCTATTCTATACTAGTCATTGGTCTTCTGAACCTTTTCCCTTTTTTTTTTTACTTTTTTCATTTTTGGAAAGTTAAACACCTTTTCCTACACAATATATGGCAAAACCTTGACAAGCCAATTACTATCAAGACCTGTCCAATTTCATCCATTAATGTATATCCTTAAAACATCAAAATGTAAGTTCTGAATGAATTTCATTCTTTGATAGTCACTCTAAAAGTATGGACCAAATAATTTCCATTATTCAATACTTATTATTGATGCTTCCCCTGTAATCCTCTGTTTCTCAAATAACTCTTATCTTTATTTCTGCAAAGCTCACATGTTGCTGGATTTCACTCCCAATCAGTAGAAGAGAATGCGCAGTGCCCCATCTTTCCTTTTAGCCAAGATAATGATCTCACCGTTTATTTTATTTTACTTAGAAAGTTTTTTAATTGAACAATAGGGCATATATTTACACTTTATTCCTGGGCGTACCCAGGCACTTTTAGTGTCACTCAAAACTTTAGTCTAATTATCTCACTTTTAACACATGGCTTCAGGGAGGAAAAAAAAAAAAAAAAACTATAAACCCTTTTAATTTTTTAGTAGAATCTTGTTTCTTCTTTGATTGCTTCCGTTTCTTCATCAACAAATTAACCTTAATTTGATTTGAATAAAAAAAGTCAATACCTTCTAACATGATCGTCCTTCAAATGAACTGAACGAGCATTCCCCAACCGAAGAGTCACAATAATCTGGCTCGTTGTCTGAGTAAGCATTAGAACTGCTGTATGGCTCGTACGAGTGTGTCACGTTCGGTCTCCCAGAAAAGTATCTATCGTAATCTGGAACCAATTCATGAAACGTTATTTCTTCGTAAGCATAGACACCACGAGGATTGACACCCTTCCTAACCGAGTCGGCTTTCTCCTGCTTCTCCAAGGCAAGTTCTAGCGTCACCTCTACTTCTCCTGCCGAAGGTCGTTCACTTGCCTTAGCATGAAGACAACTGAAAGCGATCCCCACGAATTCTGTCAAACACGCTGGTGCTATCTTTCCTTTCAGATATGGATCAAGAATATCATGAATACTAGCCGCTCCTATCCTTCCAAAGCACAAAGGAACTAGATTCTCGGTGAAACTTATAAACTGATATGCCAATCTACCACACAATACTTCAAACAAAACAACACCTAGCGAAAACACATCACATTTTTCTGTGAGTTCACCATTGATGCGATACTCTGGAGCCATATAGCCATACGTACCTGCAATCTCTGATTCTGTTTGTGTCGAAGCCTTCGGCTTTGAGATGCTACGGGGACCAATCTTGGCTAAGCCGAAATCAGCAAGCTTAGCAGTCCAATTCTTGTCCAGAAGAATATTGGCACTCTTGACATCGCGGTGTATTATTGCATACTTGGTGCCTGTATGAAGGTAATGTAATGCACGCGCTACTCCAATGCATATCTTTAGCCTCCGCTTCCATGGGAGCGGGTCATGAGCATTTGGACGAAGATGATCACGCAGTGGTCCATGAGTCATATATTCACACACAAGTATCCTTTCATCTTGACAAAACCCGATAAGGGAGGCAAGATTCTGGTGGCGTAGCTGGCAGAGCAACTGCATCTCAGTTCGGAACACATCTCCGCCTTTTATTGTCATCGACTGCCGAACCAACAACTCAGTTTGGAACTCATAATCTGCTGACTCAGACTGAGTGCAGCGTTTGACGGCAACTACCCTGCCATCAATAAGCCCTTCGTATACATAGCTAAAACCACCTGCACCGATCATCAAACTGTTATCAAAGTTCTTAGTAGCTGCTTTGAGCTCAGCTAGTGAAAATTGGTGGCAGAGTTCTCCTGGAAGTGCTGCAAGTGCTGCAGCTAGTGTCTTAGTTGATTTTGCTTTTCTTCCCCCAATTTTCTTAAAAAATTCAGAGAAACCCAGGCGAGAGTTCCCACCATTTCCAAAGAAAGGGTTTGACATTTCCGGAGTAGGGCTATGGAGGATCTCTAATTGGCGGAGGAGGATAAAGGTTTTTTTTTTTTTTTGAACCGAGGAGGATAAAGGTTTTTTCATCAGGTTACAATATATATATTTTTCTCGTTTACAAAGGCGAGCCAATCCTGCCGGTCCCAACCCGGACTTACCCCCGACCACTCATCGATAGGAACCCTATTAATGTTTTGTAGTGTCCTGCACTCCACGCTGCAAGATTTGTGACATTAGAGACGCTCAGTTAGTTGTTCTTGTCAGAAAAGAGAACAAAGCTTTAGTTTTTTAGTTTTTAATTTTTTGTCTAGAATAATGATAAGGGAATAATTTTTTTATGTAATTTTTATATATTATTAAATAAATAAATGTATTTAATATCACATGTTTAAAATAAATAAATAAAATTAATTATTTAAATAATATATAAAATTATATAAAAATATAATATAAAAGATTATTTTAAAATCATTTTCCTTTTATCTATTGCAACATTTTAAAAATCCAAGCTTTGTTTTCTGTATGAAAACAGCCCATTTAAACTATTTTAGGCTCAAAAGGAGCCAAAACTACTTCGCAGTTAAATCTTTTGAGGCTAAAAGGTGCCAAAACTACATCGTTTTGACCCATTCTAGTAAAAAATGTTGACTGGCCTAACAAGTGTTGACGCACATTTCAGCCATGTGGCAGGCGACATGCCACGTTCTCACGAAGCCATTGAGTTTTGAATCCTACGGCGGCTTGGATCTTTTTATTTTTTCAAAATCTTTTAATTCAAATTTTTTGTTTAAATTGTGTAAAATGTAGGTAGACTAAAATAATAATTATGTGATTATATAGAAAATTTTGTGTAGAAATATGCTTCAGAACAAAAATACAGCATTTAAAAATTAAATATATAAAATTATGAGTTTATGTATAATCATATTAATTGTGATGATCTACACGTGTCAGCCTAGTAACATTGACATAAGTTTGTGGGATAATCTAGTGGGTTGCAGTTTCGAACTCCACGGATTTCTTTTCTCTTATCCCTTTATCTTTTTCTCTAATTATAATCATGTTAAAAAAAATTATAATAATAATAATTATTGTGGTGATATAATATCAAAATAAACCATTTAATTGTTCCTATTGTACATGATTTTAGTTTCTTTGATTTCTGTTTTTCCGCGTTAACAATTTTCAAGTCATAAATGATCCTGAAATCACTAAATTGTCTTTTAATTAAGTGCTTTTCCTACGTAGATAGTTTTCGTGTTGGTCACTGCTAGTTTGCTTAAGTCAAGGAAATGGCAATTTGTCAAGTCGTTCCTGCGCATGCCCATACGTAACGTCTTGGGCGTTCATTCTAGAGGGTCAGGAAAATTATGTGATGAAATTTCAGTGCATCCTACGAAGTCTATCTTTTCATGTTGATTTCTTTTGTTTGGGATGAAAGCTACAGAAATGCTACCCTGCGTTTACCACCGCCACCCTACATAATTCATTAGTGTTTACCACCGACACCCTACATAATTCATTAGTGTTTACCACCGACACCCTACATAATTCATTAGTGTTTACCACCGACACCCTACATAATTCATTAGTGTTTACCACCGACATGACTGCAGTTAGTTACCTTGTTTACGAGGGTAAGAGTCATTAATGTTCTCGACATTAAGTTGCCTAGTTTGTCAACATTACAACAACTTGAATTCATCCTACGGAAATTAATAAATTAAATGAAAAAGGCTTTTGTCAAATACTGATTTACTAATATTACTAACATAATATCCCTGTCAATGTTTGTTAGAGAAATGATGCGTTTTCGACTGACAAGTTATCCCATTGGGATCCACTGTCTAGCTCTGGCTCTTGGTATGGGACTTGACCATTTTCACCAATAGATAGACAAAATGGTACCACTTCATACACCCAGTCACCATTAGGATTAACAGCCTCCATAACAGAATCAGCTTCCTCCTCCAGCTCTAATGCAACAGCTAGTGTCACCTCCACTTCTTCCATTGATGGCCATTCGCTTGCCTTTGGGTGAATACAACAATAAGCTATGTCCAAGAATTTCCTCAAACACTCGAGTGATATCTTCCCTTTTAGATATGGATCAATGATACGATAAGTGCTTCCTGCAGCACTGTTAATGTATTTATAGTACTCCTCTGGAAATGGACCATCCACAAAGTTCTCTTGCCATAAGCGAGAGGGATGTACATCAGATTTTTCGGTTAGTTCACCGTGTCTGACATACTCCGGAGCTAAAAATCCCTGAGTCCTATCACTCTACTCTCCAATTGTATCAAAGACTTTGATAAGTTAAGTGGACCCATCTTAGACAACCTGAAATCAAAAAGCCTGATAGTCCATAGTTCATCCAAAAGGATATGGAAGCTCTTAACGTCACGGTGGATTACTGCATACTTTGCTCCTGTATGAAGCACTACTTAAATTCTCTTTTTCACCAACTAAGTATCAGTAACATGGATCCGTTTGTCAGTGATATGAATTTTCACCGACAAAGCTCCTGATACTTAAATAGTATACCTTTTACCAAAAAGTGTTCTTCACTTTCAGCAACTTGGTTCTTGTTGCTGAAAGTGATTTCAGCAACAAGAACCGTGTCGCTGAAATTTTCTAGTGGGCTATATCATTAGCAACATATATTATGTTGTTGATATTAATATCAGTAATATACCTCATTTGGCTATTATTTATTGACCGGTAGTTTTTATCACCGGCAAGAAATATGTTGCTAAAAAATTATTTTTGATTAGTAGCTCTACCACCCATTATATATACACCTTTCTCATGCCAATATATACGCCCCTTCCACACTTTATATATGTACACATTATTTTTTAAACTATTAACAAAATTTTTATTGTTGTAATTATATTAATAAATATATTAAATGTTACATGATAGTTAATAAAGTAATAAAAAAAATTAAGAAACTAGTTTTTGTTTTGCCCGTGCATTCCATAGTTTTTTTTTTAAAAAAAATTATAATAGAGTTTAGATTTTTTATTATTTTTTTTATCAACTCTTGAGTTTTATAATGATTTTTAATTAAAAAATAAAAAAAATTAAGAAACTAGGTTTTGTTTTGCCCATGCATTCCATAGTTTTTTTTTAAAAAAAAATTATAATAGAGTTTAGATTTATTATTA